AAAGCACCCCATACTTCTGACCCATACATGATAATTGGTAACACTGTACTTTTAAAAAGATGTATGGCATTTTGGGGGGAAACAGTGTGATTCCCTAAATTTAAAGTTTGTCTAAGTGCAATGATATGGTGAACAATATGGTATGTAAATTAAAACAGATTTGAAAACAGAACAGCAACTGTTTTATATATACGAGCAGCATAACCTATAATCTATGTAAATATTACAGTTGGGGTAGGGTAGGACTTACCACATGTACACATTTATACACAGTACAGAAATACAAATACAATGTATATACTATGCATGGTATATGGTGTATATACTATGTATATGGTTTATACTACATTTGGTATATGATTCATATGGTATATACTACAGAGAGGATATGGTTTATACCACCTAGTATACCAAGTAAGTTACACCATTTACCTAGTGGGTGAACAATAAATAAAACTAAACTATTGAAATACCTTTTTGAACATCCCTTTACGAGTAGCATCTTCTCTTTGGATTTCCAATGATTCCATGACATGTCTATATAACTCTACAACATCTGGATACTTGAGACATGCATCCAGTCTTTCTTTGACTGTTTTACTGCTACATCCTTTCACCATTTCATCCATAAGTACATTAAGATAGAGAGGATTCCTGGTACTGGGTGTACGACAATGCGCCAGAATCCGAGATTCATGTTCACTAGAAAGTTTGAAGTTGAAAACTCCTGATAAAGCAAGTAAAAGCTCCTTCACTTGTTTGGATGAGAAAGGCTCCAAGTGAATGGTTGGCCAGGATCTGAAAACATAAATTGATCAATGAAGTAAAGAAGATGCTACAAAAGCGAATAAAAACATGAAAAAGGATGTCAATACAAGTAACAGTTGGAGGGGTCAACAAGTCATTGAAATGGCACTTTTTCAAATAAGCTAAGCCAGACATTCTAAAGAAAAGGGTGGATTATGTGTAAACGAAAACAATTTCATACAATTGCAGAGTATTAAGGCAATAACCTATTGATAGGACGATGGTCTTTATTATTATTCATTTATTTCAGACAGAGTCCATAATATGCATATATGCAAATTAGTTAATTATTATGCATATACAAATCCCCACATGTTACAAGTTTCAATTCATTTTAGCAAACTTGTTAGGATACAAAGCAACAAGGCATGTAACTAGCTAATATGTGAAACATCACTCCCAGAACAATGTGTTACTTTAACTAAAAATATGATACTGTAAAATACTTAGCTGGAATAAATTTTCGTTGAAAAGACTTTTTGGGTATTTTGTATGGAATTTATTTCCACTGAATTATTCCTTCAGCGAAAAATAGTATTTTACATATGTTAAAGGAAAATATCCTGTTTTCACTCTCCCTCTCAATTTGAGGATACTGGAGAGTCTTAAACAAACATATCTACAATGTAACTGAGCTTTAAGGACAAACAAAACTCAGGGGTGAGAGTCTATTGTTTACTGATTGAGTTTAAAACAACAATAACTGTTTTTTGAACCTGTTACTGTTCAAATATAACCACATAAGAATGACCAAATTTTACCAAAATATTGTTTACATGGGCAAAGTAACCTGAAACTAAGGAAGAGTAGTCATAATTTTGTTGTAATAAGTCATGTGATGGTCACCACAGAAAATTATTATTTATGAAGCTATGGAAAATGTCACATAAAATCAGTGAGAGGCTTAGCCTCTCAAGAAGGCTATGAATTTGACATTTTGCCCAGGGCCCTTGATTGCCATCTTGTACCATAATCCCTGTGGTGCGCTTAACAAAAGTGGATTTAAATAGATTAGCCATCTTTTTTCATTTGCAAGTGATTTAATGTACAATGACATTATATAGCGTCTATGCTCAGTGTTCACATTATGGCAATGACATTACAAATTAGCACTAATGACATAATAATTGAATCAATCAACAGCTATTGTCTCTCAAATTTTGGAAGCTAGCCTAAATTCTTATTCTCAGACTGTACAGACCTCCAAGCACTAGGACAGTTGTCCATATCTACAGATACAACCACCCTTGTATCAACTGCTAAAGGATCTAATAACCATTTCAGATTTGTCTCAGCATTCTATGGATAAATAATATAATAGTATGTAGTGTTATGAACACAAGTCAATATGAGATAATATTTCAGAAAAGTATTGGGGCAGCAAGTTAGCAAACTTCTCTCATTCGCTGATTTAACCAATTACAATTTTGCATACTTTTCAGTCCTGTAAAAGTTCATAACTTATTTGATGGTGACAAAATGAAGGGTAATATTCATATTGTGGGTCATCTGATTTTGTCAAAACCAAATAGTTTGGCGAATTAAGTGTGAAGTTAAATGACTGTCAGATTCATGTCAGATTCACATAGGATTCATGTCAAATTCATATAAGATTCATGTCAGATTCACATAAGATTCATGTCAGATTCACATAAGATTTATGTCAGATTCACAGCTGCTAACCACAGCACCAACCAGTTGACTTCATTGACTATGTAGCAAATAGAGACACCATGGAAGGCTTGGTATGGGAGTTAATTAGAAGTTAACTATACACTTGATTATACATGTATATAACCTGTTGATTGATTGCAGTAAAAGTGTACCTGAAGATTATCTATGGCATCAATGGCAAGTACTACACCACCTGGTAACCTGGCTGATACTTTCTCTAACCATTTAGGAAACTCTTCAAGAAGTCTACTGGGATCACATGTTAAAGGTGGAGGTGTTGTCACATGCTGCATCAACTACAATAAATATAACCAAGCATTCAATTGAAAGCTATGTCAACTGTTTATCAATATGTTTTCATATTTAAAAAAAAAAATTGGTAAAAATGTTTCAAAATTGCTGTAAATACTGTCTCTGTAAAAATAGAGTGTAAAAAGAGTGTTTTGAATAACA